TTGATGTTCACATGTACATGTATATTATTACTCACGAAGAATCACATGAATTTTATATGTTGCATATTTTTTGTTGTCTTATAAAACTGTTATGTAACATTTCTTGCTTAATAATCATTTGTCTTACATATTTATGTTTTTTCAACTGCATATTGTTAGTTTAATATTTCTGATTCTGCATAATAATTTGTCATAAATTACGTAATCTTACCTGCTGCGCATTTCGTAGTTGGAGCTATAGATAGTTTTTAAAGCTCTCAGTATCCCCTTATTTGTCATTGTTTGTTTTGTTAAAATTATCTGTTTTTAATTGTTTCAAAAATAAGGATTTGGTTTGGAGTTGAAAACATAAATGAAAACAGAGATAGTTACATTTGACAGTGTATGAAAAATTGATGTGTTATAATATCTAGAAAAAGAAAAATGAGAAGTAAGAAAAATATCTAAGTGGTTCCCATACGACATGTACATTTACCATCATCCGAACTATGGCCTTTTATTGAAGAGTTTACAAAATTTTACCATTCTTTCGAATTCCGGGCTCAAATTTGATAACTCTTTCCCGCCAAACATTTGTTTTTCCCACTCAATACGTTCATCGGAATTTAGATTTTCCTTTGTCTGATGACATTTCTGATAATAATTAAAACAACAGCACAACATCTTTGATGACTGTTTCAAAAAATTGCATTATTTTACAATTATTCAACTGTTGTAACAAACCTTAACTAGCATTATTTACTAGGATATATTAAATAAGTCAGTTACTCTGTATTTGTACCGCTTCAGTGGGAATGCATCTTACAATTGACAAGTTAAGCACAGTATGTAGTAGAGTGCATTCCTATTTTCAAATTGTTATAACTTTGTGTATAATACGTAAAAAATCGAAACGAAATTAATAGCATTGTAATAATTTTCAAAAAAGGCTGCACGTCAGGTTTTTGTTTACACGTGTAAGTTAACAAAGGAAGAACAATGAGGACAATGTCTTACAAAAGATGTGACAAGTTTTCTTAAGCATACTGTGACTGATTTCGTCTGGTCCGATGACTTTATTTACGACGATACCGGTATTAGATAATATGTCTACAACATCTTAATTTGTATTAATAATATTGCTTACATGCTTTTGGCGGGAATTGTTGTGAAAAAAAAGTATCATAGTATCTAATGACAACTTAGTTTCAGTCGAAGTCAAGAAAGTTGTTTAAGACATAATCAAATTTGTTTCTTATCTTTCTTATGTTTTGATGAAAAATAGAAAAAGACACAGGCTCATGACCTGGATTATTTTCGACATCACCAGACAATAAAATTAAAAAACTCAATAATAACAGGTAATAATAATTAATCAATTCAAATATATAATAGTTTGTTATCTCCCTTTGACTGCAATCGTTAAATATTATTATAATGACAAAATATGTAAAATAGAGAGAAATAATAATCCCTAAAACCGACATTTCTATTAATGTATTGTATCCTAGCTACATAGATAATATCTTATACACTAGCAAGTTAACAAATGAGACTCATTCGGAAAAATGTCACGCTTGTGCGAGAGTCAAATGTTAAACCATAAGTATGACGCTGTAATAAACTTTTGAATTATTAAGTGAAAAACTTAAGGGATTTTTCGATTAATCTTGCACACAGAACTCACCAAAATACAACAGTATTTCAACTTATAAATAATAAAATATATGAATATTATTGTTGTTTATAAGAAGGCTTACTTCAGAATGATTCCATAACAAAACAATTATACTTTATAACAAATATTTTCTGAGATTTAAAATTAAATACGTATCAGTCTTCAAATTAAGATAAAACTTGCAAAGACAACATTGACCCTTGGCTATGGTTTATAATTATGTATTTGCTTTTGAAATGAGCTTCTAGGTGATGCTACATATAACAAGCAAGTATCATAGTATTGCAAGCAATCCATAAGTCCCCTACCGGTAAGAGCCAAAGCAACATTCTGAAGGGCCATTCACTTATGTTTCTATTTTAAGTAAATTTATTGAAAAAGTTCTTTAAAAGTGATCACAGTGAACAGTTTTTATGTACAGACAGACGGACTGAAAGACACTCTAAAGTTATTTTTTAAACATCCCTGTTATCAAAATATAACATTTTTAAAAAAGCAAAATTTTAAAAAAAGGAGATAACAATGTCATACATGACGTGAGTGTAACGAAGAACAATTAGTAATGAAGGTATGAATATTGAATGTTTATTTTGAATTTGAAATAAATGAAAGTTAAAAGAACGAATAGGAAAAATTAAAAGTTCAAGGAGGAGATAATTCTGGAAATATGGATGCTAGATTTATAAACCTTGTCATATTATTATGATGTGGGAGTTTGAAGAAAATCCTATCATGATTGAAGAAGTTGGAGTAAAAATTACCAATTTCTCAAAAAAAAGTCTAAGTTCAAAAGGGGCATAATTCTGGAAATAGTCTTGCTAGAGTATTGAACGCTCACAAATGTTGAGTGATAATAAGAAACATTTATATGAAGTAGATACGTTCAGAAGAAAAGAAGTTATTAAAAAAAACAATGTTTTTTTTCATGAAAATTTTAAGTTCAAGGGAGGTAATTCTGATAAATTTTGTGTTAGAGTTGTAAACTTTGTCACATATGATGTGGTTGATGACTAGCAACTTATATTTAAAGTTTGAAGAAAATACCTTAAGAAATAAAGAACTTATAGTGAAAAAAACTTAAAAACTAGAATCAGAAATCTTGATATTCAGTCAATTTGTTGCCATAGCAACCAGAATTTTCAATACAGGAAGATAAGAAAAGAATATGCATAATTTCGATACTGCCATCTACACATATGTCAAGTTTCATAAAAATATTTTCAGTACTTTTTGCGTTATCGCTGGATCCAAGTTATGTGTAAAATTTGCCATATTTTCAGTCTATTTGTTGCCATAGCAACCAGAATTTTCAGCATAGGAAAAAAAGAAAAAGACGTGCATAATCTCCATACTACCATCTATCCATGTATCAAGTTTCATAAAAATATTTTCAGTACTTTTTGCGGTATCGCGGGATCCAGGTTATGTGTAAAATTTGCCATATTTTCAGTCTATTTGTTGCCATAGCAACCAGAATTTTCAACATGGGAAGAAAAGAAAAAGACGTGCATAATCTCCATACTGCCATCTATCCATATATCAAGTTTCATTAAAATATTTTCAGTACTTTTTGCGATATCGCAGGATCCAGTTTTGTGGACCGACGGACTGACGGACGGACAGACGGACGGACTGACGGACGGACGGACAGACGGACGGAGGGTAAACCTAAAGTCCCCTCCGGTAAACCGGTAGGGGACTAAAAAAATACTTTTAGAGAAACATACTGTATTTGATGGGGAATGTATAACCATGGGCAATGTACAATGACGATCATTAAAACGTTTCACTAAAAACTAAGTGCGCTTGTTGCTTGTACAACAAAGCTTTTTCATAAATGAGAAAGCACATACTATTAGTTTTAGAATTTCGTCTCATTTGCGTTCAATACAAAACATTGGTACACTCCTCGTGATTTTGGCACTATAGCAAAGAAATAGAAAAAGGGTGTAAAACTGCCAATATACACTGTTAGGGACTACTTATATATGCGGCTGTTATGTTTTCCCCCTCGATTATATACCTTGCAAAGCCTTTTAAAGCAACAATAAAAACATTTTTATTTATTTTTCCAGTTCTTATAATGTTTTCTTTTCATACAATACCGAAATAATATCTCACATACACTAACGCCACATATTTGATCCATATCAGTTAATAAACATTTTCACAGAAAGGCGCTAATCCGTAAGCAGCGTTATGACGTCATCCTAAGCATAAACAAGCTGACGTTATTTCATGCAAACAAGAATGATAAATTGTTGCACTGATGTTAACACAATATAATCCATTCTAAGAAGTAAGTTTGTATTGTTGAAAACTTGATAAAATAATGTTGTTTATTTTCTTATAATTTCTTTTGTTTAATAATTTCTATATCTTCGTAACAGAAGGGTGCGAAAATCGAACAGCATTATACGAAAATCGGCACTGGCAGCTCTTTCCGCTTGATAAAATAACATTAGTGATCTTCCTTATTTTTTGTGTTAGAATCGAAATAATATCGGTCATAGAGGTGTTAATCTGCTATTTAACACTGGTTTTGTCGTTTTGATGCGAAACAATTAATCACTCAGGCCTACGTCCTTTGTGGTCAACTCAAACGCATCAAAACTCTTAACCGGTGTTAAAATAGCCGATAAACACCGCTTAGACCGATATCATTTCTAAAAATAGAAAATATCATAGAAACACATATTACTACACGACTAACAAAAAAGATGTTTGCATTTAAAAGTTTACAAAGGGTACATAATCTAGATTAGGAATCATTTTGCTTGCTTCAAAAATATTTCTTATAAATATTCCCTAGAACGATGCTCGCAAAAGACATTCTAAGCAACCGATTTTTATGATTTTATATATTTCTATGAAGATAAACAGAGAACAAGCATGGTTTTGTAGGAAAAGAACATTAATTATATCTTAATGCAATTAAAAAACTCTATGTATAATTTCCCGTCCATGACTTTTATTCATATGTATACCAAACAATGCAGGTAAATTGAGGAAGTGATTATGTTTTCATTTTTGAGGATGATTTTATGTAATTTTCTTTAAATACCCTTAGCAATGACGTTTTAATTTGTTGATAAGATGTGCCGTTATTTGTTGTTTGTAAAGCGAATTTAACTGTAAGTGCAAATAAATTTCGCTTAAGTGTCATTTAGATTATCTGTGTTTAATTGTTTAAAAAAATAGAATTTAGTTTGAAGTGGTCATTAGAAACATATATGAAAACAGAGATAGCTACATTTGACAATGTATGAAAAATTGATGTGTTATAATATCTAGAAAAGAAAAATGAGAATGTCCTTTTATTGAATATTTTACAAACTCTTACCACCCAGTCAAATTCCGGGGACATTTTTGATAACTCTTCCTTGCCAAACATTTGTTCTGTCAAATTATAACGTTCATCGGAACTTGAATTTTCATGACATTTCTGGTAAAAATTTAAACAAAAGCATAATATTTTTGATGACTGTCTACAATTATTCTACTGTCGTAACAAACCTTAACTCGTTGATATAGGATATTTTATATAAGTAAGTTAATCTTTAATTGTACCACTCCAGTGGGAATGCAACTTACAATTAACGAGAAAGACAAAGTTCTGTGGTAGAGTGGAATGTTATTTTCAATCAATTAACACGATTTGTATGATACGTAAATATTTGAAACAAAATTAATAGAATGAGTTTTACTATACAAAAAAACTTTACGCCAGATTTAGCATCATAGTGAGGTAACACTTCAAGTACAAATATTTCTGATTATTCATAAGTGTATCTATAAGACCAAATGCTCTAATATCAGAGTAAACTAACTAAAGTATTTAATTGTCATTCCAGGATTAGATTGATCTGTCTAAAATACAAGAAGCAACATTCAACATAACAAAAACATAGCATGTGTTGTTTATTATATGTACTTGACAATAAACATTTTACAAAACAATAAGCATCGCCAACAGATAATAGTAAGACAGTATCACATGATTACTTTTAGATGTATAAACTATGTTACTGAAGATACCCTAAAAATTCGAAAATAAGCCTGTTTCTAAAATAAGCCAAACTTTTCCATAAATTAGCTGGAAAAAAACACGGATTTGAAAATTCAACTGATAATCCAATACAACCTTATATCTCCAAACTTCATAGTATAAAAGCTGTATGACAAGTTTTCTCGCAACTGATAAATACGTATTTAATCGTTAGCTTTTGTAACCTGATTTAATTGTGATGAAAACCGTTATGGGTAATCACACACAAACTGTTTGTGACACACACACATGTTATGCTCTTGATGAATACATTAGACAAAAATATCTTTATTTCGTTTTAAAGTGTGGTATTATCTGTAAAAGTAAAGATACCATAGTAAAAAAGTGAAAAAAAGTACACAACTATCGAACTACCGAAAAAACTTATCGTAAAATGTTAATTCAAGCATTATACATGAACGATTTCTGGAAAATGTCAGCTACTGAAAAAGTTATCTACATTTTTGAAATGACCTTGAAAATATGACTTCACTTCACCCAAATATATGCCAACCTTGAAAATAAGCTACCAAAATCTTACAAAGAAATTATATAATCCAAGGAAATATTCTGCAATGATCCCTTTAGCTATGTTTTATGAACGCGCCACGTACGTTTTATGGCAATAAACTTCAATATCTGAACAAGCATTATCCACGGGATATATTCTCTTATTGAATTCAATCAACACATTTTCAGCTAATTTCGTTAAAATTTAATACAATCTAAAAAATACATATCAAAAGCTGCATAATTAATTCGTTTAGTTAACGACTTAGACGGTTACTTAATATTCGTATATACTAGCAAGTAAACGAATGAGACATATTTAAAACAGTATCATGTTTGTTTGCAAGTCAACTCTAGAACTCTAAATATTACGCTTTGATAAACTTTTGAATTATTAACTGTAAAACTTAAGGGTTGTTTCAATAAATCTTGCACACAGAACTCACCAAAATAAAACAATATTTCAATTTTTAAATATGAATTAGTTTTATCTTTTGAATAAATATATAAACATGATATAATTGTTTAATATAATATGTACCTGTTTTATTGCTTCAATTGTTGATCCGTTAATGGTTTTATCTGTGTGAACTGGAACATTTTTTTCCACCGGTTGATTCACACCACTGGGTGATGGCCCTGCCTCCTTAAAACAAAATGCTATATTTAGACACTATAAACGACTCTATCCGAGAAATTAATGTCCCTGCTAATTTAAAATTACCCATGAGGCATTAATACGTTAACTTTGTTTAAGGCACTGTTTACATTATTATAAAACAAATGTATTTCCGACCTTGAAAGTAAGCCGTGAACAAAAAAATGCCACCAATCTCGTACAAAGAACTTGAATAAGCCGATGAATTATTCCGCTTTAATTTATTTAATTACTGTTTGATCCGTTTAACAATTATTTCGTACATATTAAACTTTCATGGTTATTTTAAACAAAAACATATCATATTTATTTCAAACAAACACATACAATGTATTTTTTTTTAATTCAACCAATACTCTTTCGCATCATTTATAGTGTATAGTTTAACAGACTTTAAACATCACATAAGAAAAACTGCCAAAGATTAATATATTTTGTTGTTCTTTGGTTTAGGAAGTTACTCAATATCGTATACACTTAAGTTAACTATTGGGAAACAACAAGGATAATGCCATACTTGTGCGGCAGACAAATGTAGAATTCTAAATAATAAAAATGCTTAAGAAATTGAAATTATGGACTTTTACTTGAACAAGGCAGTCTGAAGGACAGCTAAATCACCTTCCGAATAATGTGTACTTCCCGACCTTTAACCAACTATGACCTTGATGATTTTGCCTTGCACATCATAAGCAAATATTTTCATACTCCTGATTATTTGTGCCATTTTATTTAAAATTTTTCATGAAGTCAAAAAGTTATGGAGAACATATAACCTTTACCTTAGACGTAGAAACATCAATGTAGCTTCGGGGTAGCAATCTTGATGTTGTGCAGGGCAGATTATGTCAGGTTGCGGATCATTTGTTCTAAATTCTTAACAGACCTTTGAATTGTTCAATACGTAATTAAAAAAGACATGAAAAATAGATGTTTTACATTGGACTTTTGAGTGTGAACCTGATATTGAAGGTAGTGTCTTGTTTGTTGTGCTCTGTACATGGTGTCATAATGGTAATAATTTCACCCATGTTATCATAAAAACAATGCAGTGGTTGGCATGTTATGGTGTAGAAACGAAATGTTGACTTTTAAACTGTTGACGTTTAAGTTTGACTTTGCTTCTTGTGCTAGCAACCCAATTATTGCGCTCTGCATGTCGTCTTTTAATGGGGATTACTTGTGCAAGTTCATGAAGTTCATTTTTTAACGTTCTGAAAGTTATAGAGCGGCAACAAAGGTGTTACTGACGAAGAGACAGACAGTCTGACAGACGGAGGTCATTTATATAACCACCACCAACTTTGCAGAAGGAGATTTACTATTTGAAGCAGTGAAACATTTATTGTTCAGCTTTTCTGCACATCGTCTCATAATGGTGATCACTTGTGACAATTTATTATAAAAAGAGCTGTTTAAAAGTTACAATGCGGAAACACGAAATGTAGACATTTTTACATTTGACCCTGTGGCATTGACCTTAGGATAGTAACCTAATTATTGCGTTCGGTACATCGCCTTATAATTGTGATCACTTGTGCCGAGTTATTTTAAACTTGTTTCAGCGGTTAAAATGGTATGAAGCGGAAATGAAATATAAACTTTTTGACACTTAACCTGAACGTGTGAACTTTACCTTGAGAATAGGAACAACATTATTGCGTTCTGCAAATTGTCGTATAATGATGATAATGATCACTTATATCCATTTATGTCAAAACACGAAAGTTTCTTTTTACGGACTGATGGACTTGCAGAGAGACAGTCAGAGGCCATATCTATAGAAATTCACTGGGTGTACAGATAAATATTGCTTTCAGAACTCACTAAATCTCGCAATATTGTGTTCAATTTAATTACATATACTTGACATATGTATGTTACATCAATATATTGTAAAATTCAGATAATTGAGATAAAAGTAGTAACTGCAATAAAATTTAACACAGCAATTTCAATATACAAATACAGAAACATCATTTTGTATTTTTAGTAAATTGCTTTACAATGAAATGCAACCTATTGAAATCTTCAAATGTTCATACCGATACACTTTGCATTTAATTTACTTCTAGCAATTTTTTAAAAGAATATTCAAATTGTTCGTTTGTGAAAAAACAACAGAAACAAACTTGTGCCAATTGTAGACCAATTCACTTTAAACAATCTTAAATTTAATCATAAGAAAATAATTGATTATTGCAACGATATTGTATATCTTAAGTAGTAAGTTTCCATGGACCAATTTGACAGTTTATTTTCCAAAATGTTTGTAGTTTTAACAATTGATAAAGCTACATTTAAGCTTTTTTTCAGCCCATTCTGATTTAGAACAATACATTTTCGTTTACACAAATACATTTATCTTTTGAATTCTAGACGAAAAAAAAAGACTTTTGTAATAACTTTCAAAATGTTTCTTGGGATGTAAACCTGCCTTGATAAATGTTCATTAACATATCTTAAACAGATTTGAACCTTTTTTGCCATTTGTTTTGTATAGTTCTCTCCCACTTTTACTTTTGTATATAATTGTTTGTAATAAGACTCTGCCTACTGTAAATTATCTGTGTGATTGTTAACTAGGACCCACCATTTTTCTGTAAAAAAGGTGTAGTTTCAATTATATAATTATTTGTTTCTAGATTAAAGAAATAGTTGGTTGGCTTTTCACAAAAATTCCTCAATCTACTTAGCTCTTAGATCTTATAAAATGACTTTTCATTTAATCTTGTCTTAAAGTAGTCCTGTTTTCTGTTTCATTAGATCTATCTTCTTAATTTTCAATCTGTGTCATAAATACATCTTCCTAAGACATTTGTGTTCATTTCAAACGCAATATCTTAAGATATTAATATTTTATTATTTTCTTAATAAATGAAGATATATGATGTTCTGTATCATATAATATGAACCTGATTCATATCTTTCGGTAATTGGGGTTATGTCTTATTTGCAATGAAACCTTTCCTTTTTGATATACACTATTAGATGATTGCCCTGCCAATAAATGCTTTATTAAGAAACAATAAACGATTGTATTCGGAATAGAAATGTCCCACTTGATTAAAAATAATCAATTAGACATTAATTAGTTTACTTGGTTAAGCCACTTTATACATGATAATTTAACAAATTTATATCATGACCTTAACTTGAAAGTAAGCCGTGCTGGAAAATGTTCCATCAATGTATTTAAAAAATATAACTATCATATTTATTACAAACATTATATATAAAAAATATATATATATATAATGTTTTAATTCAACCAATATTTTCCGCAAGAGACATTTAGATTAATACACTTCAAAAATCACATAACAAAAGCTGCACAATGTTTTCGGTTGTTCCTGGTTTAGAAAGTTACTCAATTTTCTTTAGACTAGTAAGTTACCAAATGGGAAACAATGAGGACAATGTCACGCAGATCTCACAAAAATACCTTAATAATTTTAGTTTTAAATAGAAATATTTTCCATTTTATGTATGAATTCAGAAAATGACGTTATATATCGTATAATATGAACCTGATTCATATATGTTTCCCTCGCTGATTGTTTATTGGGGTTATCTCTTTTCTGCAAAGTACCATTTTTTTCCTCCAGTTGATTCACACTTTTAGATGATGACTCCGCCTTAAAACAAAATGCTTTTGAAGAAACTATAAACGATTCGGAAGAGTTATGTCCCGGCTTATAAACAAATGTCATTAATTTATTCAACTTGTTATCATCATTGTATATATAATATTAAATGAGAAATCGAAGGGTTTCATTTTCTTGAACCGCTTTGTTGGATAAGTTGCAAAGGCATATAGCCAGATGCCGTTTACAATATAATGCAGTTACCACTATCCCTTCCGCCTAATGGCTTAATGGCTTTACAGGATAGCCACGCTAAACCCAAAGTGAGCTTTGACCATTATGTTTATTTTCTGTAAATACAAAACGATTAAAATGCATCTTTGTTTGAACAGACAACGAAAAGCTTGTTTATTATTCCAGCGCTCTTGATGTATGATAACTATATATAATAAGCACCAAACGCGTTAAAAACAATTTCCGCACCCATTAAAAAAAATAATAATTAGGCTGCCTTTTACAAATTATAAAATTACATTATCTTCGGAATTAATTTCAATGAAAACTTAATATAATAAATACAAGAAAGCAAAGACAATTACGTTCAATTGTATGTACTTAAAACTACATGTTGTCTACAAATACTATTATTCCTATGAACAATAATATCTTAAGATAAAATTAAAATGAAATATTTTAACTTGAAAATCGGTCGATGGATGTTCTTAGAAAATAACTGCCATGTGCTCGTTTGCATTATATACATGTATGTACATGCATACTGTTCATAATAAAACAACAAAAGTATAACGTCAAGTTTAACAAAATTCTGCAAAAAAAATCTATAAAAAAAATAAAAAAGAACAAGCAAACAAACTACTAAAACAAAAATGAAAATAAACTTCATCAGTTGATACAAACTTCAAAACATATACATTACGCTCACACCTGTAATTAGATAAATCAAAATATCATTTAATGTATATTTTGGTGAAATAAATGCTTTCTTTTAATGTTCCAAATAAAATATAAGACTTTATGATCAACATGCAAATAAACAGAAACAGTAAAACGCATCTGACAATTGAAAGAGACGTCCTGGAATATTGCCTGAATAAAATTGTTGAGGGTTACGTTTTCAAAGTTTTTAAATAAGAAACAAAAGCTGGCATATAAATTGTTGTAGTATCTTTTTCATAAATGTCATATGCCGAATTTTTCATTATTTGACTTCAAGTTTCTCACTACCATGAAGTTGTGACGACAATGATTTATCTTGATGTTGAATACATATTATACATTACCCAACACAATAACAAGAAGAAGAACAAGAAAAATACTGCATTTGTACATGTACTTTTATTACAACAAAAAAGAAAGAAAACAAACAAATTTTACACATAGTTACATGTATATGTACAGTACATGTTACAGTACATGTACGTACGTATACTGATGTTTAAATACAGTAATTAATTTTTAAAATTTAAGGTTTCCACCGCGTTGACCGGTGTTTGACCGCCGCGTTCCTCCGCAATTTACCACTGCGTTCCGCGGGGGAAACGGTTTCAGCCGCCGATTTATGTCCGCGGTGGTGAAAATTTTCTGTCCGCGGGGTCACGCGGACAATATCTGAGCAAATTTTCGTCCGCGGTAAACCTCATCCGCGGGGTCACGCGGGTTTTGAAAAAGTCGCGCTGAGCGTACTGTATAAATTACAATAACTTCATTAAAACAAACCTGTACCTGTAGAGGAACAGCAAATCTTTTACACCACCGAATACATTTTCTGTCTTTGTCCTATAGAAAAATACAGAAGATACACATAGCGTCATCGGAATTTTTTGAGCCAATGTTTTAATAACAGCTTTAAGACACAAATTTAGAGAGGAGCCTACACTGATATCACTACATATAGAAGTTACTTTTGTAATTGCGGTTGATATTTTGTAGTAACACATGTAAGCCGTAAAAATGATATGTACGGTGATTTCACGAGATGTTTACCGTCTATAGTTGATTTTATGTCATGTATTTTTTTGACCTACCGAAACATTACTTTTAATTGTGAGTTTTTCTTATGTGCAAGACTTTATGTCTCAGCTTATGAATATTGCTGCTAAAAAATTATGATGTGTTTACAGTTAGTTCTATTCTGTTTCAATAACATTCATGTATGGTATATAGAACAATGTCGTCGTAAATGTCTTAAAGATATTTAAGTCACCTTGAATGGCCCTAAAACACATGTTATTGAATGATAATTAAACTGTAAAATTCATAAGTCAAATGTGGTGTAAATAACATACAATACTGAAAATCATTTTATGGTCTGAAATCAAAATAAATGGAAACTTGCAATGTTTGTCCCAAATTGTGCAATTCAATTTTCTGTGGCATATGGTATGGATGAAATTGAGTCCAACAAAAAATATATATACGACTTTCGACTCAAATGTACAAAACGGTTTCGATGTAACTCGATATTTCTTGTAACTTACTGCACGAGTGAACAATGAAGCAATAATCAAGCCAATACATTTTAAGTGGTATGTTGCGTTATGAAAGCTGTGGTTGCCCAATGCCTTAAATTGTTTTAAAAACGTATATAAAAAGGGTAAATGGTATGAATCAACAGAAAAAAGGTTTCCGATTTCGCAAAAAAAAAGATTATCGGACGAGTTAAAACCGCTTTAACTTGCATAAGCTATATGTATTTTTTGCACAAGCTCTTATAACCGTTGCAAGGTATATTACTAAATGGTATTGATATACACATTAATAAATGCTTTATAAGTACGCAAACATATATCGATTTTAACAATTGATCACATCAATGATCATATGATATACATGAACACTAAATATAAACTACTTAGTGCACCTGACAATTGGTGTCATTTGGTATGCACGTATTTTCCGGGATCGTGGACATTATTGGAATTCTAGCTATCTTTGACAAAACTTCAAGAATGTCATTTATATTTTGGTAAATTCTTATGTTGAGTTATATATTAACACAATTACTACAATATTATGTAACACTATTTTAAAAGCCGCGTATAATGTTTATTGGGAAGAATTACAAAGATTTTAAATATACGAATAATTTAGATGGGAATTTTGTTTCCGAAACATCTTTTAATTAGATATTTTTAAAATTCGTACGTGTAAACGTTTCTGAAAGATCCTATAGATTATCAAGCTTATTTAAAATGGCCTATAAGATTCCCTGATTTCAGCTTGAAATTTTAAAATGAACAAAAAATCTTTGCTCGGTTATAATTATTCCTTGTAAATTTTAAAGGAAGTCTAAACGTCTAAATTGGACAACCTATCCTCCTATCCAAAATAATGCACAAATCTTATAATTATAATAATTATCAAAAATAACGTCAGAATAAGTTCATTTATACAAGAAAGCAACCCTTGCTGAGTGGTAAAACTTAATCTTATAATAGAATGTAAACAAATGTTTTATATTTTCCATGAGGTTATATGTATGTCTTATCCTTACCTTTTGATATTTGCAATGACATATCAAGGCATTTGCTAAAAGAATGATTCCGAGAACAATTAAGTGTCCACACATCCAGTTATCTAAATACCCCAATGTGGAATCAAGTGATAGTCGAGCGTATGTTCCTGACCACTGTACAAACAAGGATATCAAAGTACCCGTAGGAACACCTATGCGTGGTGTTATATTGTCTCCAAGGAGAAATGATGTTAGCGCTGTTACAACAAGAATGACAGAAGGAACTGTGATCATCATATTATATGATCCATCTGGACGTGGTATTTCTATTTCTGTTCTAAGTGTTGAAAATTCTCCGGCTTCAATAGAATAGAATAATAGAAACAACTAATTCTTTGCATATTAAGACACATTGAAACAAATTTACGTGAATTTGAAAAAGTTCCATCGTTCCTTAAAACATGCAGAAGAAAATGTCAAAATGAATACAATGTTGTTTTAAGGGAATTGTTTATCGATAAAATACGATGTTTAGCCTTAAATTGAAAATGAAACGTTTCTACATACCGGGCATTGAAATCGTCAATAATATTGTTGTGAAATATTGATATTAAAAAATGTACCCCTGTAGCTACATAACAACGACTGAATACATACAAACAACCAATGTCCGAAGTAACCTTCAAATTGAAATACAGTTGTAATTTTCTAGAATGATAGTTTAAAAGAAACACCAAATGTATTACTTATCGGGTAGGTATTTCTGGTCTCAATGCTTTGGCCCTGGGATGGTATTTTAGGTCTGATTGGATCAGATGCAGGGTCAATTTGTATGGCATTTTCTCCATTCCAGTGAAGAAGAACATAGTCTGTCGAATAAGCATCTGAAAGTCAATAATCGTTTTAATCATACTAAACTGAGATAAATTACTAAGTCATTCACTGTAAACAATCTTAACCTAACAAACATTTTCCTTTTGAATATTATTTCAATGACAACATGCATGACTTATTTTGTCACTTTTCAAACCAACCATTTATTTTACTTATATCTAAATGAAAAGAAATACTTACAGCTTTGAATTTCTATTGGGCATTTTTGTGTGTCAAATGGGTATTTCTCAAAGCTCATTACACAGTGTAACTTAATGTTAAACCTGCAATATGAATCATTATTATGTTTCAATAAGTTGATATATACAATTACATATACATCTTAATGTTTACTATGCTACTAAAGTAAGACATCCGCTTTTTACTTTGTTTGACATAAAACATGCATAATTATTGTAATTATTTTAAAATTCTGAAAATTAGCTGTCATAATAAATAAAATATCATTAAACAATTTTACACGTAAGGCTCAAAGACTGGTTTTAAGGTATGATCCACCTAATGCATTATTTCTACTTTGAAGCGTATTCAAATAGGCTCAAACTGCTGTCAACTGTATTGAAGCTGAATAGCACGGATTCAAGCCCCATAAGGGGCAACTATTTTTTTCCTTTCTAATTTTTTCTTTCAACATTTTTTGTGTCTTTTGGATCACTCTTGGTAAGAAAAATGTGTTTCATTTTAAGTATAAAATTTTTATTGGTATTTGATTGCTAAATTATGCCAAATTTATTATCAGATATGATACCTGATATTTTCAAAGTCTAATAAAAAAAAAAACAAGACGGTAAAAGTATTTCATATTTGTCAAGATCAACCAGTATACTTTGACAAAAATTTAGGCAAACTTTGAAAACAGTCCCTCATTTTTGTAATTTTAGGGCTATTAGGCAAATTGTCAATCAAGGGTTTGAAATGTAGTCGGGTAGGGTAAAAATTGTATACATATTTCAAACATTTTTAGTAGAAACACTTAAATTTTTCTTGTGTCATTTGTTAGTTTAATGCTATTATTTGTTTCAATGATCAAATGGAGATATTTTCTTCATATTGATTATATGATAGATTATTGAGAGTTTCTCATTTCTGAAAGAGAGCCCTTCTAGTAGCCAAGTTTTAAGTATGAACAGTCACTTTACCTCGTCAACAATACGGTAAACTTTCTTTAAATGTTGCATACAAATGTCCGTTTAGGTATATAACAGATCTATGTTGTCAATATTATAGTTCCTTATAGTGTCCATTGGGGGCTCATACCTTAAATACAGGTTTATTACATTGTTTGCATGAATTTTAGTGCATCTTTCAGCGATTATTTAGTCATTCCGAATAGCTGCCGTTTTCTTTTTGCCATTCTAGTCAAATATAACCCGGTCTCTTTTACATACTTAAGTATAATTAACTTTTTAAAATTTTGTAATATCAAATAGGTTTTTAAGTTAATATGTTCCTTTTTTTATTCTTTACTACATTTCGTAGAAATGCATTAAATTTTTCATTTGCCATAGCCAATTGGACTTTGCCATGGGTATTCAGTACTTTGGCATGATCAATACGCTTTTCACTAAAAAGACATACAGCGTATTGAATGTTATCCTTACACTTACTTTAGGGTTTTAAGACACTCAAAATTTGTAGTCTTGCCATTGCAAAGTTTTGCCATTTGAAAGTCATTCAAAGCTGTAGAAAACGTTTTCATAGCTATTTTGGCATGGCATCGGCATGAAAAACACTGTCCGAGGCAATCTAATACATTTTGATTATCAATTACATTTACAGATCTGAAAAGATTATTTCAATCAATAGTACAATATTATCAGTAAAATTTGTCTCGTCAATCTCTGTGCCATTGTTACCATAATCATTGTAATCACAATTGGTGGGCACTAAACTTTGATTAGAAAATAATGTTTAATAAGTACTCAGTCACTTGCGAACAAAAATAGTTATTAAATTTGTTATTCCCACGTCTGTCGAAAAGTTGGTCGGCCCTGAGATATATCTAAACTGTGTAAAACTAGAAAAAAAATCATCCCCTTCAGAATCTACATTCTAACCATCATCAGCAGCAGCTAAATAATATAAATCATCATGTATTATGAAATTATCCAATACAATAAGAAAATAATAATTAATCATCTTCATCATCGCAATTGACAGCATCATTTTCATCATCATTTGTATCATCATTCTCATCATAATCGTCGAAATCAACAACTTAATTCCTATAATCGATATAATTAGCAGCGTTATCAGCATAAACATGCACTAGTAATTCTCTGAACTGATTGTAGTTTACATCTTTATCGTCATATTTTTGATAAAGAATTATTATTAAATTATAGAACAAATTACATATAAAGTGTCGTCATCATTCTCATCATTTGTTCAAGCATTATCATCATTTTCATCATCAACATCATCAACATCATCACTATCTACCAAAATCATTATGCTCATCGTCATCATCTCTTTTGTTCATGATAATCATTCGCTTAGGGTTGTATGTATGCTAATCCCTTGTTATTATCCTCATCTCAGCCACAACCATCGAGACTAACATTATCGTTAACATTATATATTCATTTGCCTGTTGATTTTGATTACTACTTTTTCCCATTAAACTTTTTATTGATGACATAAATCATTCTCAGTATGTACTTATTAATAACACAGTAAATTTAGTCATAGTCGACTACGAGTCGAACTGAGGATTGACAAATATATCAATATGATTGATTTATCATTATTTGATAACATATGAAATGTATAACTTTTGAAGGTACATATAATAAGTCATAAAATCATCAAAGAAAATGCGTTAAAATTCCATTTTCATCGTCGAAAGCCAATTTTCTCAAATATACACGCGATTGCAGATATTACCTCGGATGGACGGATGAATAAATGTTAAACTGCACCTTTTTTAAAGAATTCGCCGACCCTACAATGAGTGGAATGTCTTATGAAACATATTATTTAGAATGGTCCTAATTCATATTTGACTGTGAATTGAAAAATAAAATATCATACGTCGATCAGCTTTTCTTTGCAGATTTATGTACTACTGCAAACAAACGAGGACATATTACTTGCGTTTAAAAATCGTAAAGAATAAAACCTTCCTAATCAAACGTTTGTTACATCAGGAAAATATAAACTTATTTAAATAAAATTAATGACTGAACATTTGCTGACGGTATGCGAGATATATCTTTCATTATAGCACTCCTCGTGATTTTGTCACTATAGACAAAGAAGAAAAAAACCGGTGTTAAAACTGCCGATTAACACTGGTTAGGGACTGCTTGTATATGCGGCTGTTATGTTTTCTCCCTCGATTATATAGTTTACAAAGCCTTTTAAAGCAACAATTAAATACTTTTTTATTTATATTCTCAGTTCTTATAATGTTTTCTTTTCAAACAATACCGAAATAATATAATAACATCTCATATACATTAACGCCACTTATTTGAACCATATCAGTTAATAGATATATTGACAAAACGGTGGCAATCCGTAAGCAGCGTTATGACGTCATCCTTAGTATACAACTCATTCATAAACGCTGACGTCATTTCATACATACAAGAATGAAAACAATGATAAATGTGACACCGATGTCAAAACAATACAATCCATTCTAAGGCGTAAGTTTTTTTGCTGAAAATTTGATAAAAATAACGTTTTTCCTTATCATTTATTGTGTTAAATGATGTCTATATCTTCGTAACAGAAGGGTGCGAAAATCGGACAGCATTATACGGAAAGCGGCACCGTTGAAAAAATAGCATAAGTGATCTTCCTTATTTTAGTGTGTTAAAATCGTAATAATATCGGTCTGAGCGGTGATTATCGGCTATTTAACACCGGGTTTTTCGTTTTGATGCGAAAAAAATAACCACTTACACATACCGCCTTCGTGGTCAATACCTCAAAACTCCAAACCGTTGTTAAATAGCCGGTAAACACAGCTAAGACCGATAGTATTTCTAAAATCTCTCGTTTCTCAAATTTATACATATATTTACAGTCGCATCACTAAAAAACATATTTGATTGCATTTATATATCCTTTAGTCGACCTTTTATATGATTAGGTGAATATTCAATGAAATATTCCATGACAAGAGTATTCAAAGGCAAATTCATAAGAATATAGATTATTTATACATTCACACAAGTTTAATTAGCCGAGGGTAATATCAACTTATGGGAAATTGATTGGAAACTATGAAATTACAAATATTACATGACAATTGTACACTCGGATTGATTTGGTCCCTTTATGAGAAAAAATAATATGCCAACATCTTTCACGCCGCTTTAGGATATTCGCTTTTAAAAAACCAACAATGCTCGTACATTAATACACTGTTACACAGACGATACGGATGGACGTACATACGAGGCTGTACATATAACATCATGAATACTTGAGAGAGAAAAGTGCCACACTTCAACTAGTTTTTTTGTACAAATGTCGAAATACAAATTATATTTTTATATCATGTATTTTCCATAATATACCTTTGGAGGTCTAAAAGGGCGTGGTATATAAGTACCCTAACTGTACGTTACTATGCTTCAAGTAACTTGGGCTATGAAGTCTGCACATCACAAATATGACGTCAAATGACAAATTTAAAATGCATGCAACATACCCTAAGTTTGATCCAACATTATTCAAATAAAATGACCCAAGTACAAAAATGCCAAAAAAGTAAAAACTAAAAGGCTTATGTGATATTTTCAAAATAATTTGAAGCATAAATGAAAACCCTCTTAGAAACAGCGATTAATGTGGGCGCAGAATGAACATTAAGCCTACATTAAAGTCAATAAGAACAGTGTGCAAGAGATTTCGAATGAGTTATATGGTATTTGTGTATTCAGTGTAGAGACCCTTCCAAACCGGATCTCCGATTTCCAGATAATGTTGGTGTCTGTTTTTTTTTTTTTTTTTTTTTTGCATCTTCCGAGAAATATTCTATATGCTTATATCGCGTGGCTAATAAAATATTACCAAAAATGTCGGACATCGCATTTGTTTAAACAGCTGTCAGCAGAACAAGATATAAAATCATATTAACTGAGCGTAGTATAAACTGTACAAGGTAAATGTTACAAGGCAGTAGGCTTGTGCTTGCCGAGCAAAAACAAATATTTCGCAAGTGATTTTGTACTTGATCAAACATGATTAAGAGAAGACCAATATTGCTTATGACGATAATGGTATCGACGGCATGATAATGCTATCGAAGGCGACAAATAATATGATAATGATGATGCTTATTAGGATAATTATGCTGATAATGTGTTTCAGTTCAAAAAATAAATGAGTGATAATTTTTTGTTTTTCTATATGGCAAGTATAAGTCATAGCCAAATTACAAAGATTGTGTGAAAACAAAATTTGATATTTGTTTGAAAAATATGTGTAAGAAAAAAGTAAATATAGCAAGGAAATATTATAAATTTGACACCCCTGTAAATTCGTAGTCACAACAATATAAGATAATTTTCTTCTTTCTAAAGCGAGTAAAAGATCTAAAAGGAAGAAGCAGCTGTATAATAAGAATGCATACCTGCCACTGTAGAAAACGCTTCCATTTTTGTAAATGTATGCCAGCTGGTTTCGTTCAAACAAGCCATGTAATTGTGACTTTCTTTCATTTAGAAAATATAAGTCAGGCATCCAAAGGCTGTCCACTATATCATCTCCAAATTTGATTACGTCATATGTTGTATTGTTTCTGGTAAAGTCTAGTCGGGGATCTGTCCAATTTATTCGAAGGTTGAGTGTAAACTCAATTTCCTTAAACAATACCAAAATATCATTACATTTAGATATAACATAAAGTAAGATACCAGTCGAGAAAAGATAATAAGATGCTTATAAAATGAAATTTATATCTTAGAAAGAATTGTTTTCAGCTGCTTCATTGCTGTTGTTGTTGTTTCGTTTATTAAACATATATTATTATAATAGTACCGGTATGTTCTTTTGTTATCCGCCACACATCCACTAAGAAAATGTCACATGGTCTATAATAGAAGGTCTTTGATACAACGAAAGGATTATACATTGATGATGTTGACAAGTTTGAGATACATGGACAGTTATGACATACATTTATAAAGAAGATAATAAAAGTCATAACGATTGAAATGATGTAATGTAATACTAACTCTGTCCTTATCACTCTCCGAGTTAAAATCAGTGATGTAAAGTTGAACAGACACATCAGTAGCATTCTCTGTAAATAAAGTGACTGGATATAAACTATAAAGTTATTACTTAATTCAAATAAAAGCAAAGGAAAATATTGAAAACATGTAGTGACTTTAGTAAACAACTCCTTATGAACAAGGTCATATTTATTTTAAAAATTTAAGAATTGGATAATAAAGTCTGAAAAACTAATTTTAAGCAAGGTTGATATGCAGGACTATACCTGTACTCGGTGGAAAGTTGTGATCATACTCAGCTTCTTTCAATAGATAACGCATGAGTTCATTCCTGAAATAAACAATCATGGTCTTTTTTAATCTGCTGTTAGCCTTTGGACTCTTTGTTTGTATATTTTTAGGTACCGTTTTTATTTAAGTTCATGGTCCAAACAGTAAGAAAACAAGATTTATAAAATAATCGCTTAACCTAATCGAGAAACATGTTGAATTTATCGTTTATGCCTGCGTTGTTACAACAGGTATATGCCGAGACAATTCTAAGGAAAAAGGAACGTCTTTTCAGAGGCTCTGATCCATTTCAGGCTGATTTGTCGGCACTACTAAACTGCCTTTTCACATAATATTTCTTTGTGTTTGAGGGTTAATTTGGCTTCGAAACACCAGGCAAATAATGAAGTAAACTTTTTGATCGAACAAGAGAATTACCTACAACTTTTTATTCTATACGGAAAGACAGGGTAAAGCAGACAAATTCAAAGACATTTGAATAGTTGTTATAGAATAATTCAGTCTTAGTTGATATTAGCAATATGTACTACTAAGAAAATATTTAAAGATGGTTAAATAGTATGTATACCAGTATTAATGTATCTTAAAATAACCTTTGTCGTGTATAATTGTCATTCTAACAATCTGAAGGAGATCTTATATAATTGATGAATATTGGAATTAAGTTTTAAAATAACTGTTCGGTAGTTTACATAACTATTTTAAGACAATACTTAACACGCTTTATTTGTTGTTCACTAAAGATATTATGTATACAAGGTAGAATACAAAATGCTTAGATTGAAATAAATGAATAGTGCGTATAATAAGAAAAAATACGAAAATTAAATTGTTACTTTATAAATGACATAGACAAAAGTCAATGCATTTTCATCAGTTAGATTTATCAAGTCTGTATCAAGCACTGTGCTATAATCAACTTACTTATATGTACATGATAACAGTAGAAGGTATGCCTATTTAGCTATATTTCGTTTCTTGTCTTTGTATGTTAATACTCAATCGCAAGCGGGTCTTTTTTCAAAAAGCGGTGACGTCCAAAACAAATTGATTGTTCGGAAATAATTTATTCTATGGTTTTCCACTAAAATGTCATAACTGGACGTTTCATAAATAAGATGTCATTGTTAGATAACATATATGACAAAGAACGCAAAGCATGTTTGATATTATCATTTTGTAATATCATCTGGTGTATAATTTAGTTATGATGGTACATGCATTTTACTTTTTCCCAAGTATCATCGAAGCATTCATTGTGAACATTCAATAAAGGTAGAGAGAAAATTACCATTGTTTTAAGTCAATTTAATACTGTTTATTAAACACAAATCCATAAAGTATAAAAACTTAATACAGAATGTTGTTTTACCTGGTAGGTTCTGTATAGACACAAAAGACGCAAGTCACTGATATTATCGTTAAGCATCGACAAAACAGCTTCCGATAAACAATCATGATGTCGTTTGTTCAGACCTGAAACTGAAAGGTTTCTTTTATCAATCAAAAGGAATACATGAGACAAAGACTTTGATGGATCAATAAAAAACGTTTCGTGTCCATACGAGGGGTGTTCAAATATGAATGCAACTGGGCCAATTTTCAGAAGTGCTAAATAAACGGTGCCAAAATAATTATCTAGGTCCTTTAAAATATACATCATCATGTGATTTACACAAGTTTAGTATTCTAATGCAATTTTTAAATACGTTTTCATAATCATTTCGAGGTTAACTGTTCAGACACTGGAAAATAGTTGAACCGAGCTTTTTTCGTGTTTGATATTTTCTTCCAGAAAAGTGTTTTTTGAGCCTCAGAAATAGGAAAAAAGTCACAAGGGGCAAGAACTGGCCAAATAAAGTGTGAAGCTCGACAACCTTTTTCTGTTATTAGTTATACTTGTACAATGGCCGCTTTTTGTGACGAATTATTGTCATGCAAAAACCTGACTGACAACACAGATACTAGTTGCTGGTTAGAGACTTTTTAAATATTTTTTACGCATGAAAGACCATGCCTTTGTAAAATTTGGCATTTACAGATTTACCCTTTGGTAAGGCAATTTGAGTAGCAGGACCTTGATTAGTACAGGAAATTTCATGTATTTCTGACGCTCATGGTGCGTTTCACAATGCAAGGTCTTTGACTTCCTTTGGTTGCCAAAAGATTGTTATGTATATTTCTCCCCGAAAAATAAAATGGACAGTGATGATATTTGCGAAAGATCGATTGTTGTATTTATTGAACAGTTTCAACAATTGTTTGGAGATTCTTACTTCAGCAATTTGTTGCTGTTTTGTAAAAAAATGGGGTATCCATCCGGCAATTATCTTTCTCATTTTAAAATCACGTCTGAAAATTGTATGAGCGGCTTCTACAGAGATACCAACGCATTGTTATACCTAATCATAAATCATGCATCAGTAGCAATCAAATCCTTTATTTTTTAACCACATTTTGGCAAAGTTGCAGTTTTCGGACGGCGTGCATGAGGTGAGTTTTTTTTATTAAATCTCACATATAAATAAAAAATCTCATTGTTCCCATAAACACGACTTATTTCATTTAATATGATTTTCGCCTGTTTACAAAGAATACAGCTGTTTATGATATAGGAGAAATAGGACCGTATTTGTTCAGAGATTCAAGTTTAATCCTCGCTGTATCTTATAAAGATTTATCATTCATGACTCATCACGCAAATATATGTATGAGAATACTTTGGGTTACAATCAATTTTAATCAAGAGAAGCGGAAGGCTTGGTGTGATTTGAGTTATTTGCATTAGAAAACGACTCTTACCATAAAGAACAAACCGCCAGAGGCTAGTAGATTAATGCTTAAGATATAGAACCCTAATTATTTGTATCATCCTAAGTTTGAAATAATTATGTCCCTTAATATGTCCCTTGATTATTATGTCCCTTAATATGTCTCATATCAAGAGAAAATTATCAATCATTGAGTTATATTCGATGTTTATATGTATTTTGTCATAAAAAAGACAACACATTATATGGAATTCCTCTAATCTAAACTAAAGCGTTGCATTTTATTCCATTGAAGTAAAGATACTGAAGTTACACGATTTTTTTTGTTTGATTCTTTCTTTCAATATGAAATTTAAGTATTATGTTTGAAGTCATGACACAACGCTTTGTAGAAGGAGATTAGATAAAAATTGACCTACACAATATCTCTTTGTACAAACAGAGTAAGATAATCAATTTAATGTGTTTAAAACTATCGTTCCACACAGTTTTTACACTTTTATAAATAGGACAGAAAGTCTCGCTTATTTAATCTAAGATGTGAATCAGAATAGAACCTATATCATCCAATTAATATGGGGAATGTTTCAACCAATTTTAACCCTAAATGTTTAACTTTTTTTCAGCCTTTATCTAATATAATTATAGTAATTGCACTTCATAAATAAAAATTTATATCATTGACTTACAGCGTCATTTAAAGATACGTAATATAATTGTTTAAAGAATAACATGTACCAACATTGCTTTGTTGCTGTTACAGTCGGAATGAAAAGAATAATATTGAAAGTACATATTAAGATTTCCCTTGACAGTCTGCCGACCTTGATAGGTGCCCTTTTTTTCGACAACCAGACTACTGACAGTTGTTTTTTTTTAATCATTAATAAAGTTTTAATCATATTTTTATCATAATGTAAGTTTTAATCAATAAATATATTGAGTAGAAGAACATTACTGTGTTGCGTGCGTTTAGCTATACTCAATTTCAATGCCAAATTTATCGTTTCTATGCAAATGTTAACCATATATCTATTATCAAAGGAAGAAATGGTCAACTGTTGAGTTTATAAGTACCCAAACAATTAAATATACTTTGGCTTTTCAAGTTGAATGATAATCAATTATAAGTCAAGCAACTAAAGAGAAGTGTGTCAGTTCTTTGGAAATAGTTCTCGTTTTCGTATCTTTACACTGGAATAATTATCAACACTTCAAAAGTGTAGACAGTGAAACTATAATAACAACTTTAACAAAAAGTATATTTACATATTGAGAAAAGAATTGGAAACAAATAAAACAAAAAAGCCTTGAAAAAAAATGTTAAAGTTAAATAAGTGATTGGTGGGAACATCCTACTGTGTTTTCCAAATGCTCTAAAACATTCAAATGTTTTAGAAGGTCAGCAAAAATAGTAGAAAGATACCAATTTGTTCATACAATTAATTAAGTTTAGTAAGTAAGTCAGAAACTTACCTGACAAATATCTGTCTAATATAAATCTCTTTAAATGTCGCGAGGAGAGTCGTAGAACACGTCCTCTTAGTGCAAATACTGACTTGAAAAGAAAGCACGCAACGCAAGTTATTTTAAACAACAACAATCAAACGTTATCTTGTGAGAATTTACAGTCGAGACAATATGGTGGAATACCATAGTGACACTATCGTAGTGTGTGTACTCTGTTAACTGAACAGTTTTTGTCCCGTGTAAAATGGTTGAAAACTAATAGTTATAGATAAGATATGTAGTATAGATATATCTGTATTTTTGAATCACCTGCCCGCAAAGCTCAATTAGGAGAGCCATCGGAAGAAGGAACTGTAGTGTCCACACACTTGAAGGTTCGAGCCGTGATTTTGAAAATATTTATGTTTTTGGTATATTTTAATTATTTGTTTATATCCAGCTACATTATTGTTATTAGTGAACATTCACAATTTATATGATTTATAAGTGATTGAAAATTTAATGAAGAAATAGATGAAACATCTAATAGAAGTATGTTATGCAAGCGGATGACCAAATACTGATTGCTTACAGTTAACATGTTAAAGTCAATAATAATATTATTATTATTTATTATTTATTATTATTATTTTATTATTATTATTATTTAAGCAAGGTATAGTATTTCTAGCCTATAATTGTTAACAGTATACTTTGAAAAAAATGGATCTGTAACTTTAAAGGAGTGGTTTTAGCACCGAGATATTATATATATGTAATAGAACATCATCACTTATATCATTTAACTTGGTTTTTACAATAAAATGTAGGGGTACATTTTTTACGTGGATTGATTACAAATCAATATCTCAATAACTATTCAATATATTTCAATGAAAATTTGACACATAACGCATCTTTCTTGGATTCACCAAATTATAGGAAAAAGTCAAGCTCAGTAAATTCTTCATTTACGTGTTTTTTGCATATACCCCGTCGTAGGGCTCCTCTTTCCTAATAAAGTAGGAGCTGTTTCGGCCTGTAATGGCTCGGCAACAAATAAAACAATTTACTAAGGTGGAAAGAAAAAGCAACGCAGTTATTTCATGGCGAAAACCAATGGAAGTGTTTTCAATGTGCGCCTTCGTGCCTTCCATTCCGGGTGAGTAAATGTTAGGAGGCCCGTCCACAAGAAATAAGTTGTTATGAATAATATAGAATGACATTAAGTGTTACATGTTTCAATAAATGAAAAAGATGAATAAAAATGAGAAAAAATAAGGGAAAAGGACAGATACATATATGATATATCAAAATGACAAACGTACAGGGAATATATAAGACATTCATAAAAACAATATATTATACATGTCGGTATATTACCCTCGTGACATATACAATGTCATTCATCATAAAAAATACAAGGTTTACAACGTACCTTTGATGTTTGGCCACCACCTACGTCTTTCTACTGATGCTTTTCTAGGGTTGCATACATACAACTTAACATCTGAGACACAAAACGAGTATGCGGTAAAATTATGTGGACCCCTCAAGTAAGCATATGAAAAGGCATGAGAAGTTTTTAAACAAACAGGCCTTACAAATAACGCAACCTATTACGAGAAGGCTAGCAGCATTTTAATGCATCAAGGAGTTCTTGTCCTCGATGTCAGAACAAGTGGGAAGCAAAAGTAATAAGACCGCTGGAAACAATATACTTACGTTGTGGTCCGGCAACTCCACGGTTATACACCTTATTACGAAGTCAGAAAAGGAAGGGTCATGATTCTAGATCTCTAGGACTTTGCATCGTAATCGTCTTCCTTTCATGACGATTGTCGATGGCATGACGCAAGTCAACAATTTCTGAAATTCAATATTCTGGTGATGAAGAGGAAAAGGATCAATCGGACTTACAAACCAATGATAAAGTTACAATGTACGTGATACCAATGAGAAGATCACAACTAGCACTTTTACCAGAATTGTCAACAAAAGTACTATCCTCTGCGAGACCAAATCAGATCCGACAAAACCACGGTAGATGAGGAGCGGTGATTTTGTATCTTAACCTTTTAAATATCTACTTAATAACCTTTAGACTGCATTTTAGTGATGTATTAGTGTATACTTGCCTTAAGAGAATTGAGAATTTAGTACTATTCAAGCCGGTGTTAGAGGGCGTGAGGGATGTTGCACTTATTCATTATCCTTTAAGTACAGACTCAATCAAACCGATTCTTAAATTCTTATGTAATTCTGTTGTGATTAATGCTTTAAACGGATCACTTTCTTTCAGGATTTTAAAATTTAATACTTACCTGTTTTTTTATATAGCATTGGTGAAGTTATGTTAACAACTATATTTCCGAAATAAAATGAGACACCCTATTTACGCATTTTCGTTTGAAATGATTGACGTACTGTTCGTTGCTTTGACCAATATACCGTTTAAGATAACACCTACCTTCTCGCGACTGGTACTTTGCGGTCGAACAAATGCTTGTTCTATAATAAAAGCATATTGTAGACGTTATCTTTGACTAGAGTTTACGTTCCGCAATGTTAATTTTTGTTGTGTTTGTTTGCTTTTTGTAACTTATCATTAAATTTTGTAAATTTTGTTGACTTATGTTGTATGTTTTTAATTGTCTTTTCAACAAGATGTACTCCGATGTACCCCGATGTTGAGACCGTATTTGTACTAGCAAATGGAGTATTACATAGTAATCAAACATAAATAAATTATAAATAAATACTGATTGTTTTTTTTTTCAGTCTTTAATCTTTAAATGCAAAATGGGTCTCATAGAAGGTCAAACATTTTCTCTTCTCACACCAACCTGTACTTTACCTCAGTAATACCGTTATCCTATTATTATATTTCTGTAGTAACATGTAATAACCGTTCACAAGTGTATATACACAATAATATTTACGGGCATCATGGCATTCTGTCACTGTTATTATTGTGTATAGACGTATAGTTTTAAACTATAATAAATTATCTGTGAATAATTTATTTTCATTCACTTATTTTTTGCCTATAAGAACCCAACAATTTACCAAAAAATTTTACAAATGGTCTAAGTTAGCCAATGTAATTCAGTCCTACGTCTGTATGACATCTTGCATGATCTCTTGAACAAACCGGACTGTGACACAGGTAACTTAAATAAATAGTACACATGTTTAATTTCAATTTCTCTTGTACTTAAAAACCAAAAAAAAGATTAAAAATTAAATATGTATTATTAAAACTAAACGTAAAAAAGGGTTTAGATTTTTACTCAAATTTTATGTCCTCAGTTTTAAAAGAGAACGTCCTAAGTTTCTGTTAAAATAAAACACCCCAATTTGGTAATGATTTAAAACAGGGTGAGTCTATCTTTTTAAATAAAAGTTATTAAAAAACCTTATTAAAAAAGATACTAAAGCATTTTTAAAGAATTTTGAATCAAAAAACAAAAATCGGTGTTATTCCTTAAAATTTTCCACCCATATCAATTTTTTCCCCGGCCACTGGGTTTTACCCCTGTTTTGTTTTGCATTTTAAACCCTTTGGGGGAAAATTAAATTTTTTTTTTTTTTTTTTAAATTTATTTTCTTTTTGTTTTTTCTTTGTTTTTGGGACAAAGGGACATGCATTTTCCTGTATTTATTTCGGGTTACACCCCGACTTTTCTTTGGGAAAGGGATTTAAAAAATGTTTTCCTTGAAAAATTTCCCTGATAACCCCCGCATTAAAACCCCCTTTTTCTTGATTTTTCCTAATTTTTAAATTTCCCCTGTTTTCATTTTTGCAAATTTTATGATATCGGGTAATTAAAACCGGTTTAGGGGGGGGGGGCGTGACTTTAAATTTTCTATTTATCGTTTTTAAAGAAAGGCCCCTTTTTTTAGAGGGTTCCGTGGTTTTTTCTTTTTTTTAAATAATGGGGAAAAAACCAAAAAGCTTGTTAAATCCCAAAAATTAATTTTTTGATTTAATATTGATTGTTTTTTGGTTTTAGTCATTTTATTTAAAAATTTTGTATAAAAAAATAGAAAGTTCATTTCGGCCAAAATGCTAAATAACCATAATTCTTTGTTTCCGTCCTGTTTGAATATTAAAGAAAAATAACAAAAGTTATTTGACCTGTTAAAAAAATCGCATTTACAGATGAATATGAAAAACAATAATTTTCGTAACGTTTTTCTCCTAGGAGGTAAAGTTTACTCTGAACATTCGAATAAATTCTACAGATTTTAGTCTGCATTGTACTGCAAACAACACTACATATAATGTTTTACATTTGGGGATGAAATTGATAATAGTCTTCGAATATTAGACTTAAATTTTCTTTAAGAACGAAAATCCACTTTACATCGTCTATTTACAGACAACCAGTTGGTATATATATATACAACAATGCAAGCAGTATCTACATTGGCGGGTATTCATTTTTTTTTAATTCATTTTATCTAAAAATCGGCTTATCTACGATATATCTTGCTTAACAGAAGCACTCAATAATGTCACTGACTATTGTATCCTTCTAGTCGGATTCTGAAATATAATTATACAGAAAACCCTGTAGATCATATTCTGGCGGAATGCGAATATATGTATTGGATATAATTTTTTTAAAAGATTAAATGACGCTGAAACCTTTTTAAAGAGTCAGTAAGGGTTGAAATAATAATAATAATTAAAAGAAAAAAAGAAAGAATTTATATGTGTGCAACTGTTACGAGCCAGGCGTAACGAGAAAGAAAAGCCAGCAACAAACTTGTAACAATAACAAAATTTATTACAGAAAAATTATTAAAGAAAATTAAAACAACAAATTATGTGTACAAATACCTGAAGTCCAAATATAAATGTAAAATTCAAATGTCTAGTCTGATCCTGGAATGATCCCTTTTTGAATAGCACAGTTAAATCCAAGAACACTTTAGAATAAATTCCCACAATAAAATCCACAAGAATAACTAATAATCCAAGCTCCTATAAATCACTTAATTTCCAAGTTGAATAATACTCCAAATATATTGATGACTTAAAAGATCACTGATGACTAAAAAGGTAACTGATGACTTAAAAGGTAAAAGTAATGAAAAATGTCACTTTATATATATTAACTAAGAAAATTCCAG